TCCGGAAATAAATCGAAATTGGGCACACCATAGGCTCTTTTCCATCACCATCATTCAACAACTTTGTTTGCAATTCTCTTGGTGTTTGCACCCACAAAACGGAGGAATCAGGCTTCTCTTAGACATATTCCAACCAACATCAAACAATTTCAACAACCACATAAACAAAAAACAATACTCCCTGACAAATTAACGATACTATTACCATAGTGACACAATATGGGCCAAGCACTCTAATGGCTGAAACCGACATCAAACATACTATTTTGCCTATATACCATTCAAATAAATGACTGGCACCTCTTGGCTAGAAGTGGAAATGCTATTATTTTTGTGACCTGGTTCTTCCATTTGGCCTATGCTCAGCACCATTTTCTGTGCATAGTAGAAGCCATAGAGTGGATCATCAAACAACGCACTAACAACATCTTGCCTACTACTTTTACGGCTGGTCCCATAACACATCCTCTTTCCAAGATACAATGTAAACCATGCTACAAACTTGCCAACTACTAGGTGTACCAATCAACATTTATTTGCATCAAACTCGACACAATACGAAAGGTTATACAACTTCCAAAAGAGAAACTAGACCATCCTTATGTTTATGAATATATTGCTTTGCTGTACTCCAAAACTACTACTTGCCGTGCATGTATCACTTGATCTAAAAGTTTTATGGGGTTCACATCGTTTTTTTAATCGAAATTCGAATCAAGACCACAAGACTTGTAATTAGTTTTTACTCCACCATCGTATTTACCAGCCCCTACCTGATCCAACCATTCTTTCATAATTCTGGGCAATTGCCGTGTAGAGCATGCTTGCTCTACTCGGGTACTATGTGACCTGAGTCAAGCTTGAATCATCTCCCACCTTGGTGTGCATTGCCATGACGGCCGCTTGTGGAGCAACTGTGTGAAACATCATGAGGTCGGTCTTTATTACAATGTTTTCCCTTATTAATCCAACCCCATATGTCTGTGTGATTCACTTAGCATTAATTAGATGTTAAACGCCGTATTGAACATGGGAGTTTTCTGAAATTGTCAACGGTTGATTTTTGATGATTTAGATAACTGGGTAGAAGTGAAATAAATAAATAAATAAATAAATAAATAAATAAATAAATAAATAAATAAATAAATAAATAAATAAATAAATAAATATAGCTTTGTTGGAAAAAACGCGTAATCCCTTGGATTGAGATGTAACATTTTACCTATGGCGGAGACTGATTCTGGACCCCCAACTACGCTACCAGAGGCAGAAACCAGTCGAGACTAGGAGAATGAGGTAAATCCATTCTGACCATGGTCGACCATTAAGACAAATACAGTACTGCTCCAGAATTAATGATGCTATATATATTGGCACATCAAAAAAAGGAGTACTATATTGTAAATGTTCAAAGAAACATGAATTAAACATAGTGTGGTTACCAAGGATTTATTGTGAAGCTATAGAAGCTACAAATTATAGATTACAAAATCAATCTTTGAAGATGACTAAATCTCTTTCATCAGTACTTAATAAAATCTTATCCCCTTCTTTCCGACAACACTCAACCAGATATTCTAATAATTTCTTTTTTATTTCAGGTTTACAGGTTTCTCGAAACTTGTAAACGAGTGTTATGAAATCAATTAGGTATGCACCAGCTTGAGATTCTTCGTCAAAAGAATCAACCATGTCCACCGTATATTCCCTCTTTTTAGTTTCATATCTGGCATTTGGAAATCGGAGTTTGATGACATCCTCTATGAAGTGAGTTCCAATGAAGTGTAACTTTGTATCTGTGAAATGCTCTCCAACTTTCACTGAAAACTTTTCCCATCCGCCTTGTAAGAAAAAGAATCACAATGAGTCTTAATGCGAAATATATATATATATAATCATACAAGAAGTTATAGAAAGCGAACCATTTTCTGATTTTATCCAAACGCTAGAGAAATATGAGATATACTAAATGTAACCTGGTGTTGATGTAAATTGCTATCTAGTTACAGAGAAAAACACACACTGTTACATACCATCAATCATCTTGGAAAACAGCATTCCCCCTTTCACCAGACGGTTATACAAGTCTACTACAGTTGTTTCAACATCTTTGAAGTGATAAGCAGAATGCGACATAACAATGAAACCAAACGTTTGCGTTCCATTTACTTCTAAATACTCTTCAATTGTAGTAGTTTGGAAATCAAAAACTACATTCTTCCATTCATC